TTCCACGGATAAAGGACACAACAGCAACAGAAACAGAAACAGAAACAAAAAGCGACAAAGTCAGCAGGAGGCGTTAAAAATTTATGTTATTAATTTGTCAGTTTAACAATCAACTGGGCGGCACTTAAACCAAATGGCGCCATTTATAAACTCGATTCAATAAAAGCCGTAGCCGAGCCGTAGCTATAGCCGTGGCAGTGTCCGTGTCCTTGTATACCGTCAGCAGAGTATATTTATGGACCCAGTCCAGCTCTAATTCTATTTCTTTGCCAACAAACAATAAATTGCCACTTTGATTGTGCATATGTCCGAGTCGGCGGTAGTCCAAGATGTGGAGAAGATTTCGCCAACAGAAGGGGATAAACTAACATGCGTGTTTGGTTCCGGTTTCCTGACATTGAAAACCGGATAATCGGATAATCAGAGAACCGGCAAGGGCGGTTGTAGAAAATAATTTTCTTGCTGTCGTTGACGTGGGAGAATGGGAATGGGTTTGGGAACGGAATTGGTATAGGGAATGGGTTGGCCTTGTCGTTTTACAAAGACATAAAGCCATGAAAAGGGTGCACTAAGCTGTCGACCTCTTCGTCTCCGCCGCCGGCTAGTTGAAATCCTATATAGCCGTAGGCTATATATTTGCCATTCTGGTATGCCTCCGTAAAAGGTCGTCGCCGGCAATGGCCGGCCACCCAATTACACGCATACCTAAGCAGATTGTTGGAGGGAGTCCGGACTCCGGATGGGATTATTTTGGGGGGCAGTACATTCACATTCACACACACACGGCACACCAGTCGGAACACATGTAGAATTTTACGCATAATCTCAGCCCATAGCCTTGTCCGCATTTTCACGCCGTCCATGTGGCTGCCAAACGCGTCTTCGTCCTTTTCTCCCTTTGGACGTCAAAAGAAAGTTTTTCTTTCGGCATCCCTTTGGTATTTGCTCTGGTGTTTCTGTTTTTTTTTTCAGCCCTTTCTCTTAATTGTTTTAGTGAATTTTTTCTGAGCCAAAAATTGTGCAAAACGTTGTTTTAAAATTCAAAAATTTAATAAGAGATTGTCTTTCAACTTGAGATGTCTAAGAGTCCTGTACTTTGGAAAAGGAAATTGGAGGAGTAACGAAATATTATAGCCTTTGGATATGACTTTTCTTGGAGTATTTTTTGTTCCAGATCATTTCCATTCGGCTGCTTCAAAAGAATAAAGTTCCAACAAAAAGTTTTCGTTTTCACTTTCAATATCCTGACTGGCAGCCACTGCCTTGATGGCCACCCACCGTTGGCCGTAATGTGTGTGTCCCGGCCGTATCCGGTGGCCAATGGATTGGGTCTCCGTCTCGGATATTGGGGTTATGGGTTGGTGGACTCTTTGGGCCTCGGATTCGAGTCCGGAGTCGGGTTTCTGGGGATATTGAGACTGCGAATGGTGCATGTGTGACTGTCAGTTAATATTGACATATCAGTTTGTATTTATTTGATTGTTTCTGACAACTTATTGATTGCGAGGCCGAAAAAAGGGACTTCTGGGAAAAGCACAGCGCCAGGACCCGGGATCCGAGACCGGCAACTGTACAATGGCCATATTACATTATCGTAATGATTATGTTAATTCCCAGGCAGTTGATCCCAACGCCTTTATGTTGTGCCCTTTTTTCTATCCTTTTTTCTTTGCCTTTTACCAGGACTTTGAATATAAACATATATAGGATATATGTATATATATCTGTACATGTCGAATGTTATTTCTTATTTGCCTCTGCCATTTTATTTGCTGTGGTTTCATTTGTCCTTCGTCCTGGGAGCCCTCCGCCCTTTGTCTGTCGTTGGTCTGGCTTTGTTGTTGTTGACAGTTTGGCAAAGATAATTTGTAAACGGATATTAGAAAATAAGCTGATTGAGCCGACCGACCGGCCGACCGAATGAGTTTTCCGTACGTGGGTATCTCATATTGATTTATTAGTTTGCGCCTTTGGCTCTTTGAGGTATGCAGGATATGGAGGAGGAGGATGCTGAAGCCTGCTGATGTGACAATGTTTGCCTATCTGGCGTATACTTGATTTATATGACTAACGCCACTTGGAACCTTTCGCCATCTAATGCCTACAAATGAGCCATAATCTGGGGAGTTGTTTTTCCGACCAACATACTTATTAAATAATGTGTTTGTCGGGCCTGTTGATCACTGCGAAAATCTTGTTAAATTCAGAGTGCATTTTAAAGCTAAATCGCACATATGGCTCGCGGATTAGGAGGTCCTTCGGATTGCAGCTTGGGATTCCGAGCACGTGCCCCAAACACGCATTACGTGAAAAAGTGAAATGCATCCGAAGAGCTTTACCCAGTAGTGGGTTTATAGTGGGGATTCCTTCTGGGGAACGAGGCCCCTAATACCCCGTCGTACATGCACGTGCCAGCTATTTAAAATCTGCGACGCAGCTCCTTTCCCATTTGCGAGTTCATAAAGTTGGCCAAGTTTAGTGCTGTGTAACCAAAAATATAGCTTCCACCGAAGCAGTTGCTGCAACAACAGAGTCATTGGCAAAGTTGTGGCTGGTAATGTAATGGCATCACACCCCAGAAACGTTCCACCCACCATACATTCTACACCGTACACACTACACCCTACACCACAGGAAAACCCATCACGCACACACTATTTTGTAGACCAGTTTGTAAACAACTCATCTGCTGTTCCTGCGGAACATTACGTATACGCCATGCGTGCCACAATTTTCGGTCGCGCCAGCTAATGCACATAATCAGTTTTGTAGTTTGCACCTCGTCACCAGGCAAAATGTGGCATGGAGTGGGCCACTGCTATTGCCACGGCCACCATCATCCAATCACTTCATCTGCCATATTTGCAGCCAACCAACCGTCCGGCCTTCATTTCCAAACTAATTTCAAATACGGCCCCGATGACACGGCCCAAATGCTTGTCAAACATTTTGGGCCAAATTTTCGTTGGGCTTACAAGCAGGTCACCATTATGGAGAATACTTTAAACTGGCTAGTCTTTAATGAAAGGGGGCCTTTAGGGTTCTACCAATATTTGTAGGTAATTTCATTGAAAACAATAGAGCGAATTGTAATACCCAAAGAGTTGTTTTCAGAAATATGGAAATGGAATGTTATTTCTGGGTATCGTAATTGGCAAATCAATCATTAATTAAAACAAGAAATACAGTCAGAACATCAGTGTCATGTTTAATAAGTTTCATATCCACTCTTTTGGATTTACTTTGTACTCTCAAGTTTATAATAAATCCTAGAAACTGTTCCGGGAATGTTACATTTGGGACTTAGCCCAGATTCAGGATCATGAAATCCTGGGTCGAGAAATGAGAAATTCTATATGTTGCACATGCAAACTCATAATCAGTGAAATTCAGATGTTGCATTCGATCCACAAAGGCTGGCTTATTGCCCGATGTTTGAGATTTCCGTTTCCGTTTGCATCATTACGCTTTGGCCCAGAGAGAATTGTGGAGGCTTCCGAGGAGGGGCAGGAGTAAGGACGATGGGTAAGGATGAGTAAGCCAAGCTGCGCTGCTGCATAAGTCAAGTAAATACAATTCTGGGATTACAGTCCGCCCCCGTCAATGCCGGTCTGTTTAATATTGAAACTTTACCGAGGACCCGCAGAGTTGTGAGCGTTAAGCGAAACTTAAATGAAATCAAATAAAATTATTGCCCCAGCAGGAGGTGCCCTTTGTGCTCGTCTCGTTTTGGTCCTTTCGTCGTCCTTTCGCAGCGGGCGCCTAATGTGATTTGTGCCTTTCTGCCGCCACCGACCGCCGCAGGGCCCATTCCGTTTTGGCCAAATAATTTATAATAAAATTAACTTTAACTTAATGTGGATGCTTATTGTTCGTCCTGGCTTGGCTTGGTTTTGGCCTGGCCCGAGCTGGCTTGGCTTACCATTTCCGCCAGTTCGCCTGCATATTTTATGCAATTAAGAAAAATGAGGCAGCTACACACACCGCATAGCAAATTAAATTAATTAGCAAGTTTCCGTTCCGCCACTTGCCTCCGCGACTCGTTTAGTACTCTCACTTAATTTCTGTTTCCTCTTCGTTTTATTTTTTTTCCTTCAGCGTAAACAAATTAATTTTAGCAACTAATGGGAAACTGATAGCAGCACATTATTAACATGAGCCGGAACCGGACGGACATGAACGGACACTGGCCAACTGCAGGAGCTGCTAGGATCCGGCCCGACCCCACCGCCACCCAGGTCCTGCGAGAGCCGCAAACTTTACTCATTTTTCCCCGTCTCTCGCTCCCTAAGCCGCTGAAACAAATGAGCTTTGTTTGACGTGGTCCTGCTGCCAAGGACTGCATTCTATTCGAAGCGTTCCGGCCATTTTAACTGGCCAGCTGCCGCTTCGACCAAAACCCAAATGAACTAACGAACTTTTAACATTTTCGCATTAATTGTACTGGGCAACTTTAAAATGCAAATGCAAAACTTTCACCTTCTATTTTGTAACTTTTAATGTGAAAATAAAATGTTTAATTTCAGAATTAAATATTACCCCTTAAAAGAGACAAACTTTCAGAAAATATCAAAAGAAACCTATTCCACGAATGCCAGCTACCACTGTGCCAGCCCCGTCCACTTCGCCAGGCCAAAATTTATGTTGCAACTAATTGCAGGCAGTTGCCGAGCTTCCGGCCAACGGCAGACAGTTGCCTTTGCCATGGAGGATTCCATGCCCAGGAGCCATTCCTAATACCCACTCCCTGAACCTCCAGGATCTCCCCCTCCCCATTTTGCCACCGACTGCGTGTGAAATTTATTGAGCGTGGAAAGTCATCGAACGTTAAGTAGGCATGTGTGAGTGTTGGGCGTGGCCCCAACTTTATAATTGATTGCTTTAATTAAATTTTGAAAACACTGCCGGCTGTCTGTTGTCTACTGTAATATGGCAGCCCACCTGCGAGCCCAAACCCGAAACGACCCCGAACCTGGGGAAAGGGCATCCGACGGGAGTGTAATTAAATTTTAAACGCTTACTTAGGTTGAAGTGAACTGCTTGTAATAATTACGGAAGCCATTAGACAAGCCTTTGTTCTCTTCATTTTCCCGAACAAATATTCAGTACTGATAGAGAGATCTAGTGGCCTGATGAGGCTGCACTGGCTACTCCTGGTGCTTCCTTGCTCACACATCCTAGGGGATACAATACGTCGGGAATGGCCCCTAAGACCTCTGTCCTGGTGGCAACGTCAGTACTACCAACGTCGATGTGAGTACTTCAGCCAACACTAATTAAGGTTAGCGAAAATTTCAATTCGGACTTGTTTTCTAAAGGGAATCTGAGGATGCGTTTTACGACTACTCCCCGACCAGGTGCCACGGTCGAGTCGCCAGAGATGCGAATTGTGTATCCTTGCTACTGCCCAAAGCCGAAGGCCGGAATCCAAGATTATAGGAAGGTTACGGGCTTTGCAAAGCGTCTATTTGAGCCCGATGATGTATTCTTTCTTAATCGATAAGATAAGTCCAACAAAAACATAACTATAACTGCTTTAACTTGAAATCTGGCTTACTGACTTTCAACGCTTGATAAGTCTTGTATAATCTGGGGATCTGAATCATGGCCACAACTGGTATTTACTTTTCTGATGATTTTGAAGATAACAAACAGATAAACATCACGCAGCAGCATCTCCGCAACAGCATCGAAAGCAATTTAGGTTTTTGCGAAAAACAAAAGCCACGTAATCCTCCTGGCCACTCCCTTGCTTTCACACTACCACTTTCTCTCCGACACTAACTCAGCCACTAAGTGAAAATAGTTTGTTGGCCAAAATGTGTTTTTGCTATTGCAATCTGCTGTTGCTGCTGGTGCTGGTGCTGGCTTTGGCCCTGCTCCTGCTTCTGGCCATGTTGTCTGTCCTGTCTGTTTGGCTGTTGTCTACTGCCAGCCAAGTGATAATTGCGAATTATGGATGAAGTAGAGTGGAAATACAGACAACAACGATGACTGACAATATAGACATACACAACTGTGTATACATCCTAGTGTATATGGCTTGTTCTGTTGTGGCCATTTTGTCATAAATAGCAAAGTGGTTTTCATTTATTTTCTGTCATTAGGCTGATGGTGCCAAAAAGGACTCTGTGCTTTTAAAAGCCACAAATCATTTAAAATATTTAAGAGGACAGAAACTAACCATTTCCTTTTTAAAAGAATAAAAAATCACAGTACCCTAATTAAATATTGTGGCCACTATCATCTCTCAACTTATTGATCTAACCACGCTCCATAAAACTCCCATGAAACTTGGCAGCAACATTCAATTGAAAAAGTTCGCCCGAAAAGCAACTGAAAAACTATTTGGGAAAGAAAAATGAAAATTATTTAAAATAAAAGCAAAAGAAAATAATGAAAAGATAGCTATGATGGAGATGTGTAGTTCGGAAGTGGAAAAATTGAGTTGAAAAGACAGAACGTTAAAAAGTTTCATAAGAATGTGCACTTTTAACGCACTACCATTTTTTTGTTGTATTTTTTTGCTTCAGTGCGTGAGCAGAATTTGAAGTTAAAAGTTGGACCATAGTAAGGGCAGCAAAAAAAGAAAGCCCCAAAAAAAATTTCAACTAGCTTGGTGGCACATAGAACGTGCCACAACAGGAACAACAGGAACCCAAAAAAGCTGGCCAAGAGCAGCCATTCAGCTATTCAATTACTTTTCCTGTTTCGGTTCGCCCTCGAGACAAAAGCCAATGTATACGAATCCTTCGAGTCCTTTGCCTTTCCAAGTCTTGCACTTTTTCATGCACAGTACAAAATTTAATTAAATTTATAAATAAGAAATGGAAAATAAAAGTTTAGGGGTACTTAACTGACTTTGACTTTGATCACTTTGATTAATCTATTAAACTCTATCAAGAAAGTGGCTGACTATGGAAGGCATAGTCTCTGTTTCATGGCTAAGTATTTTCAATTTTTTAAGAAGCTATTATTTTTCAAATCTAAAATTCTTTCTACATCACTGCTCTTTATTGATTTCTATGTATTTTTTCATAACACTGCTGCTGACAGTATGCAAAAAAAAAGAAAATGTGCACCGCTGGCACTGAGAATGCCAGTTTGCAGCTCGGGCTCAAATTTCCCTTGGCTCAAATTATTTATAGAATGTTCATCTGGCGGCATCCGTCAAGTACATGCCAGATCTAGCGTGTATATGGTATATAAATTCCACACATTTTGTGGCCAGTACTCACTTGAAGTGATAGGTTCCGTTTTCGTAGCCGAAGAAGGGAACCGTGTAGGTCAGCATCCAGATGTTGCCGCCACCGCAGTCGTAATATGGCTTGGACCACCTTCCATCCTCGTACTTCACCGCCAGGGTGTCGTCCTCGATCCGCTCCTCCGTCCGATTCGAGTAGAGATGGAAAGCTGCAAGAGAAGGGGAGTATATGGCGTTACATGGGCGCTTCAATGGGGGATATCCATTATGCAAACTGTAATTAGAGGACCCAAAAATCGATAAGCTTTCACGGAGACGCCCGCGAAATGCGGTTGGCGTGCTTCAAAGGATGCACAGGGAAAAGGATTATGGGGAAGGCTTTCAAAGAAGATTTTTCAAATGCAGTTAGACGTAAGGCTTCAGTGACGAATTAAAGGGAGGCTTTAATAGGTTGTAGAATAAAATTTCTAGTTCATAAGAATAAAATGAATAACTTCCTATAGAAATGTCTCTAAAACTTATTTCCCCAAGTGTTCTTTGCATTGTCTAAGCCAGCTCTGCGACTAATGACTTTATAAATGCAAACCCTTGGCCTTGGCTTACCCAATAACTGTGTGTATCTGCCACTGATGAATAAACCAAAAATGACGACACATTAAAATCGAATCAACGCTATATATGTGGTCATATAAAGCCACTTAAAATGGCCAAGAAACCCGCAAAGTTCAAACAGAATGCCGCTCTTCGAAAGACTGGAACCAGCTCCTTTAAGCCAAAGGGTCACATCTCTGGATGCCTGTGTCTACTTTTATCGGACGGCCTTTGTGATGGGCTGGCTGCCGCCTAAGCACCCAGCCTGGCAGCGAAGGATCTACTCTTTGTGGACGGGAACCACAATGCTGTTGGGACTGATCTACCTGCCGCTGGGCCTGTCCCTCACCTACGTGGTGCACTTTGATAAGTTCACGCCTAACGAGTTCCTCACCTCCCTGCAGGTGGATTTCAACTGCATAGGGAATGTGATAAAGGCCACCATGACCTTCAGCCAGATGTGGCGGATGCGGAAAATGAACGAACTGATTGCTCCATTGGACGAGAGATGTGCTACCCCGGCTCAGCGCCAGTTACTGCACGATATGGTGGCCTGGGTGAATCGCATAATGGTCTTCTTTCTGGCCATGTACCTGGGCTTCAGTACCCTCAACCTGTTCACGTCGGTTTTTGCCGGGAAAGCGCCCTGGCAGTTGTACAATCCTTTGATAGACTGGCGCCAGGGAGTATGGCAACTTTGGGTGGCGTCCTTTATGGAATACTTTGTGGTGTGCATTGGAGTGATGCAGGAATTATTATCTGATACATATGCCATTGTATTCATTGCTTTGTTTCGCGGACACCTGGCCATTCTCAGGGATAGAATCAAGAATCTGCGAAATGACTCTGAACTCAGCGAGGAGGAAAACTACAAACAGCTGGTGGCCTGTATCAAGGATCATCGTACTATTGTGCAGTAGGTTTAGCGCGTGGTATGGCATTTTCAGATTCCTACTTTAAGACCAACTCTTTCAGATGCTCTGAGGTAATACGTCCCTTGCTCTCGACCACAATCTTTGCCCAATTCATGTTGGTTGGCATTGTCCTGGGCCTGGCCGCCTTCAACATCCTGTTCTTTCCCAACACCTTCTGGATGATCCTGGCGAATGTCTCTTTCATCCTGGCCATTTGCACCGAAACCTTTCCCTGCTGCATGCTCTGCGAATACATCATCGAGGACTGCTCCAATCTCACCAACGCCCTGTTCCACTCGAACTGGTCGACTGCCAACAGGCGCTATAAATCGGCCTTGATTTATTTTTTGCATCGCGCCCAGCAGCCCATCGAATTCAAGGCTGGTGCTATTTTCCCCATTTCGGTTCAGAGCAACATCACGGTGGCCAAGTTCGCCTTCAGCATCATAACAGTGGTCAAGCAGATGAATCTCGGCGAAAAGTTTCTCAACAACAGGGCCAGTGGTGAGCAGGAGCTATAGGGATTATTTAAACTAATATTTGCACTTTAAGGCTTTCATTGGACAGAAGCTTTACGTCCCTAAATCCTGTACTAATCCTGCACTTACTTAGAAAATGTAAGCACTTTTCATTGCTTATTTAATGCAACTGCCTTTCCATGATTGAGTTATTATTGAGGCCTAGTAATTAACTATTAACTTGACTAATTGGCAGTTGACAAAGCTGCTCACTTTAGGCTTTAATAATAAATCCCAGTTCGCACTTTCCACATGACCAATGGCTGAGGCTAATTACAGACCACAAAGCCATGGGCGTGGCTGGTTGGCAAGTGAATTGAGCACCTGGTGATTGAAAATGTCAGCCCAGGTGAGAGTATAAAAGGCAGGTGCAGGCAGGAAATAGGGGGACTGGCAGACATGGTCGTGTTCGAGCTAATCAATGCGGCTCCGCTCACCGAGAAGGTGCAATCGCGGCAGGCGAATGTCTATCTGTACCGGGCCATGTGGCTGATCGGATGGATTCCGCCGAAGAAGGGCATCCTCCGGTATGTGTATCTCTTCTGGACCTGTGTACCATTCGCTTTCGGAGTGTTCTACCTCCCGGTGGGCTTCATCATCAGCTACGTAAAGGAGTTCAAGAACTTCACTCCCGGCGAGTTTCTCACCTCGCTCCAGGTGTGCATCAATGTGTACGGCGCTTCGGTCAAGTCCACGATAACCTACATATTCCTCTGGCGGCTGAGAAAAACGGAAATGATCCTGGACGTTCTGGACAAGAGGCTGCAGAACGACAGCGATCGTCAGAAGATCCACAATATGGTGGCGCGGTGCAACTATGCATTTCTTATCTATAGTTTCATCTACTGTGGCTATGCAGGATCCACCTTTCTGTCCTACGCCCTGAGTGGTCGTCCTCCCTGGTCGGTTTACAATCCGTTCGTCGACTGGCGCGATGGTTTCGTCAGCCTATGGATTCAGGCCATCTTTGAGTATATTACCATGTCCTTTGCGGTGCTTCAGGATCAGCTATCGGACACCTATCCCCTCATGTTCACCATTATTTTTCGCGCCCACATGGATGTCCTCAAGGATCATGTGAGGAATCTCCGGACGGATCCAGAGCGTAGCGAGGCGGATAACTATCAAGATTTGGTCAACTGTGTTATCGATCACAAGATGATTTTAAGGTGGGTTGACTTCTTAAAAAGCCCTATCCTATATCCTATTATCCTCCAGGTGCTGCGACATGATACGACCTATAATTTCCCGCACCATCTTCGTCCAGTTCGCGCTGATTGGCTCCGTTTTGGGACTGACCCTGATTAATGTTTTCTTCTTTTCGAACTTCTGGAAGGGCGTGGCCTCCTTCCTGTTCGTCATCACCATCCTGCTTCAGACCTTTCCCTTCTGCTACACCTGCAACCTGCTCATCGACGATGCCGACGATTTGGCCAACACCATTTTCCAGTCCAACTGGGTGGACGCAGAGCCACGATACAGAGCCACATTGGTCCACTTTATGCATCATGTCCAGCAACCGATTATTTTCATAGCCGGCGGCATATTTCCCATTTCAATGAACAGCAATATAAGCGTGAGTTTTTGGTTTCCGGTTCCTCCATACTAAACCATAATTTAATATATTTTATTGTACATATTAGGTGGCCAAGTTTGCTTTCAGCATCATCACAATAGTCCGGCAAATGAATTTGGCCGACCAGTTTCAGTGATTCTACCAAGAATCATATACTGCTGGTAGTCCTCGCAAATAAGTATTATCCTGCACTAGAAATGGCCACAAAAAGTCGATTCTTTATGTCCCCGATTTGCATAAAATTTCTATACTTTCCAGCTTATCTCGTAAGATTTTGGCTGATTTAGTTGGCTGAAATGGGAATGGCTCAGTCCCAGTGGCAAAAATTTGCAAATTGTGTTAACAGACGGAAATTACAACGGTCAGATGAGTGAGTGTAACAACAAGAACCACAAATAACAAAGTCAAAAGGATCTGGCTGTCTGGAAGGGAATGGGACGCAGGACACAGGAAGTACATGTAACCGTTTACATATTGTATGCGATTTTTATTTAAATTTTATGTTAAACACGTGACTTGTAACCCACAAGAAATGGGCGGCTGGGGGAAGACTATAATAATATAGAAACGTATAGCCCCAGCACGGGGTAAAAGCAAATATTATGACATATTTTTGCGGTTTACTTGCCACACGCGTCATGCGAATGTTCGAGGCATGAGTACATAAACATGTAAAGTGGTTGGAGCCAAGTTAGATGGACAATGATATATGTTTGCTTATACATACGAGTGTGTGCAGAGTCTGGAAACGACAATAGTCCTGAAGTTTCTATTCTTTTCCGTCAAGTTTTCCCAGGGCCATGAATTTAATTTCGTTTCTATGCTTTTTCTGCAAATAACTGCAAGCGTTATGGATGGTTCCTTAGATTGCCCATTTTTTCAAAAGCAAAAAAACAATTTTACGGAACTCCATAAACGTGGAGCCAGCTCAGTGAGCAATTAGCCTAAATTATGATATCAAGTGCGCTCTTAAACCGACATTATTAATCATTTTTCGAACATAAAAAGCAATTTCAATGAAAATCAACATCGAAAAGGCTATTAAATTCATTGAAATCGCATCGCATTCGCCACTTCGTGGTGTACGCCAGAAAAAATATAATTAATTATGCGATGGGCAAAAAAAGGTAATCACCGTGCGAATTGACTTTTTCAGGTAAATAAAAAGACACAACATTTGCATTGCCACCGCAAACAAGTAGGAAAATTAATTGCACATGAATTGCCCTCAATATTGGAAGCGTGTGGTTGTTGCTTGTATTTTAATCCCCCCATAATGCCCTTGAAAATGCGTGAAATTTAATAAATCCGCAGCTGGCTGTCATTTATGCAATTTACGACTCCCCCATGCCCCATACCCATACTCATACTGATGGCGGCATGCATCAAGAAAGTTGTCGGTTGAAAGTTTATACCACCACGGCAAATAGCAAACGGGAAACGGGAAACTTTAAAGGCCAAAACGCCAGGCGAGAAGTGCAAATATGCAAATGCACATAAATCGAAAGTCAGGCCATCCGGCCGTAGTCTCAACACGCCGTAAATCATAGTTTGCCAGGGAGCTCTACGGAGTTTCCGTACTATGTATTTGGCGGAATGTTGGTCTAGATAAATGACTCCATGTCATGGAACCACTTTCCGTTTATTGTTTGAACTACAAATATAATTTGGCAAGAGTTCCCTTCATTTTAACATTTTTTTCTTCCAATTTTTTATTATTCCGTGTGGCCAGGGCTACTGTCTTTTCAATTTGTCCATCCGGCGACCCGGGCCAGTCCAAAGCGACGGCATCGTCAAACAAACGAATGAGAAACGGACTTTTATGGCAAATAGTTGGCTCGGAGCCTGCAATCAGCTCTTGGCCTGGGCGCCCAAAAACGCTATTAGTATGCATGGGGCCTGGGTCTCTCAGTGTTTGGCCTAAACGTTCGGCTGCCGCTGTTGCTGCCACACCCCCATGCACCAAACTTGTTTGTTTTCGATTCCATTTGTTTTCCTCGCCCCCCCTTGGTCCTGCGTGTCCTGTGTGTGTCCCGTGTCCTCTGGCCCAGTGTCGCAGCCAAAGTCACACAGAACAATCGAACGTGGCGTATACGTAATACGTATGTAGGCACACATTTTTCAACGGCATCTCATGCATTTTCCCAAATGCAATTTGCAGGACCAGAGCCGGCGGCTAGATCCGGTTACGGATACTAGGGTAAGCTATCACACGGCTAAAAAATATTGAAATTAATCAGTCAAAAAAAGAGCTTTAAAATCTAAAGCTGAGTAATTTTTTTCTCCAAGTGTACCTGCCTGGGGAATACCAAAAAGCCCATGCACTGCATAACCACGGCATTTAGTATTAGTTGTAGGCAAGCAAACAAATAATTTGCATGCCAATGTGGCACACGCGATCCCCAGCCCAGGACTACAGGGAGAGATGGAGGAGCAACGTGCAACGTGGCGTAACCGTAACCTTTAATTTGCAAATTATTTTGAAATGTTGCGGCATGGTCGTGTCAAGTGCATTTGTTTCTCGCCATCGGTTTAGTTGTGTGCGAAGTTATGCAAGCTGTCGGACAAAGTTTAGGTTTGCATCATTAAAATTAATTGTGTTTAAACTTTAAGCATTAAAGCCTTGTGCAGGGAACTCCAGGTCCTTGAGGCCACAAACTCGAGAAGCTGGAAGCTCACTGCATGGCCTGACTTGACAACTGAATGGCAAATCCTGGACAATGACGAGCTTGATAAGGAGGAGTAGTCCTTGTGGCGACTCTGGCATAAAATTGGCTTACACGCATCACTGTCAAACATGGCCTAAACACACGGCTCATGGCCATGGCAATGGCTCAGAGGCTTAGAATTGGATGCTCAGTGGAGCAAACAGGCGGAGCGCAGCTAATTACGGAATGGCATTTGGGAGTCCACCAGGTTATTAACATTTAAAGTGGAGTTTTCACGTTAGCCAAGGCCAAGGTGTCCTTTTGCTTTTATTTATTATTGCTTAATTGTTGCTCTGTCACGATAAAAGTGCCTAAAATATGCGACTCCGAATGCCGAATACGGAATGGCAACGCAATTAGGCAACATCCTTCCCTCGCAGAATCGCTATTCATCTGTCGTCTGGCCAGTGACTAATGAAGTCGCAGATTAAAGCCTCTTGGCAAATATAAATATTCAAAGCCCCTTACCCTCTATACAGTACATATATTTGAACATAAAAGGCAATAAGAGAGAGGCCTCTGTCTCGGCTATCGGGGTGCCATAAATAAGGGGAATAAATCAAGGACATTTTCGGGGTCCCAAAATAGATACTTACACTTGAGATACTGCTCGTTGCGGGCTATCACCTTTTCGGCATTCTTTCGAGCCAAAAAGAACCACTCGGAGGTATTGCCCAGATAATGATACTCCATGGCCAGATCCTTGGCGAAGACGGCTCCCAGATTTGGCGGTGGCAGGCGGTAGGCGAAAGGACAGAAAAGTCCTGGCTGGGCGGGATGCTCGTTCCAGTCGAAGCAATTTCCGGCAGCGAATATATCATCGTCGAACTCCACCATGGACAGAACGGAGGCGTGCAGCAGGTTTACATCCTCCTGGACTGACCGGCCGGTGGTCTTAAAGATCCTGAAACAAGGACAACAATAACAACAATAAAATAAAATATAAAAACAACAAGAAGCCATTGGACTGCATCGGATATTAGTTGCAGAAAGGCAGCGGAAAAAATGAAATTTATGACCCTGGCAGGCAGGAAATTGCATTGAAAATGCATGGCAAAAATTGTGCTCCCAAGTAGAACTCCTATATACTCTATCACAAAAATCTATGAGTTATGTAAGCAATAAAAATGTGCTGTAGAAAGATTGGGCTTTTCCTGTTTTATGAAAAAAAATCAATTTTAATGTGTCTTTCTAACTTTGTGCCAGCATCTTTTGTTTAACGAGTTAAAGATTGATTGATTTTTAAGATATAATATGCACTAGAATTAGTTGTAATTGAAGTATTTCCCATTTATACAGGGCACTTATATCTGCTTAACCCAAAAATAAATAAAACCCCTTTTCTGGGCCATATATGGCATAATAGGCTTTTGCCCCCAAAAGTGGCTCACTGGACCAGAGACCACCTAGAAATTGTTTGGCTGTCATTTTTATTTTTATAACAGGAGGACAAGGATGAGAAGGAAAAGGATGCTGTGGAGGAGTGGGTGGTGGGGAGGTGACCTGGACTGCTACAAGTGCATACTTATAGGCGCGGCGCATTCAAGCCAAGCATTCAAACTGTGCTCAAGTGTGCTCCTGGCTTTCTATTGTCTGTTGCCCGAGCGCTGTAGGAGCGCTGGCATATCCTTCGTCCTCGTCGTAGTCGTCGTCGTCGTCGTCATGAAAATGGGTAAATGAGAAAATTACATTGAAGATTTTAGCCAAGGAGGGAAAGAGCCAAATTACCTCCTTGTAACTGTCTGCGTTATATTAATTAAATTGTTTGCTTTAAGAGAGAAGGGGGCCGGGGGTGTCGAACAAAAAAAACCTTTACAGCATTGACTTCAATTTCATTTTCCAATACATTAGGCAGGAGCATCTCAAGCGGATTTTTTGCTCCTTTTTCTTGGCTTTGGGGCCAAAAACAGGATCTTGTGACTTTCTCATGTGACGCGCTTGCTAATTGGGCGTGGCTCATTAATTCGCTTGCGGGCCTCATTTGTAAATGTCAACGGCATTTTGTCAGCACCCTCCCACTGCCCCTCAAACATGGCCAAAATCCACCTCCGCAGTGCACCTCCCACAGTGCCACCCCCTCCCAGACAAATCCATGCGAGTGTCCAAGGCCGTGTCAGGGCTCAAAAGTCGCCTAATGATGATGATGACGATGATGGTGTTGGCGACATTGTTTCCCGGCGATAATGCTGACTTTGCCGAGGAGCTCAGCATGGAGTTGACAGCGTTTTTTTTCCATCAGGCTCTCTCATTATTTATGGCCCATACTCGTTATCATTTCAGTGATAAGTACAAGTATCCATCTCTACGAAGCTTGAGAAAAAATTACATTTACTGGGTTACATCAAAGTTTTCTTAAATCCTAAAAAATTAAAATTGTTTTGGTATTTATGCTTTACCTTGTACCCCAATTAGCATTTTCCGTAGACAGCTTGAAATGTACGTGTGCCTATATAGTTCGGAGCGCTTACAGTTTCCGAGTTGGATGCTTTTCCAGCTTTCCCGATAGCCCCACCCCCGGCGAGTCCCGACACCCCTTCCCGGCAGTCGACCAAAGTGTGTTAAAAACACTTTTCAGCACTTGAGTGCTGGGAAAGAGGTGAAAACAAGCGCAAAACAAGCTTCAGGTGCCAGTGCCCAGACAGGACGAGAGATCCTGGAGTAAGTAACTCACTAAGTACTCGAAAGTGCTCTCTCCTTTCTGGCCTTTGTCTATGTGTGTTTTTTGGGTGAACGGAGTCCGGGGGACCAGGTCGAGGGTTAACTGAATAGTTGGCCTAAAGTCATACTGACGGGTTTTGAAACTTATTTTCCAGACCTCGTTCGGC